AGCTCAAAATCCAGTGGAGGAGACAAAACAATAGAACAAACAGCTATGATGTCATAAAATGGTGTGGTGAGGATCAGTCCTGTAGCAAAGTGGTTAGGCAGTGTTCAGAAAGGACTGGATTTCATATGACCTACCAGGGTTTGAGTTTCAGCTCCCTTGACCTAAGAGGATAAAAGAAATATGCTGGACATGTGCAAGCATTCAAAGTCCTGACAGGATGGAGAATTGGAGGAAAAAGGATTATGGCATGGCTTAACCTGGTTAGGGGTGTTTTTTCTCTGTCCCCCACCTCCCCTTATGAACTCATACACACCCCTAGCATTAAAAATAAATAAGTGCTATGATGGACAAACACCTAAGAGCCATTATGAGATATTCTTAACCCAGACTGGAGAGGTGAGCAGAGAAAGCTTCTTGAAGGATATCACATCTCAGTTAAATATCTCATAGCCAGGCTTTCTAAGGTGTAGAAAATAGCCTATTTTCTTTATTTTTTCTATTGCTCAACAAAAAAACTTACTTTTCTCAACATGAACATTAAACATTGTTAATGATACCACTGTTTTAATGAATTTGCAACCTCAATGATAGAGCGTTCTTCTGAATAATGGAGCGTTACCCGCAATCACGGTATTGATACTTACTCCCAGTGGTTCCTAACTACATAAAACAATGGGGAGACAAGTGAGAAAAGCTGGTGCCCAATCTGGAATACACACAAAGGATTATTCCTAAACCACCAGAACTTTTGAAAGAAGTCTATTAACAATATACACAATGTCGTGTTCTTGAGACCAACTGGAACAGAAAAACAAATGACAACAACAACAACAACAACAACAAAAACAGGAATTCCCTCAGACGTTGTGAGAAACATGGAAGCCAGTCAAATGTGGGATTGAAAAGGCTGCCGAAGAAATGGCAGGCCAGTTCCCACTGGGCCAAGGTTTTGCCTATCTGGCTTTATCTCAAAGTCGAAAGAACTTGGGGGTCAATTTATGAGGAGTTTGACCCTGAATAGCTTTCTATATTTGGGCACAACAAGTTGAACTTAGAATAAATGTGGTCAAATAACCCAAGCAGCTGGCAAATGTATGGGTAAAAAAACAGGGTGGGTGAAACTACTAAGTCAATAATACAGAAGTTTGATAAACCAAAAGCACATATGTATTACAAAGTACATTTATCCTAATCAGTAAATATTCAAGATTAAGAAGCACTTGTATTCCTGCAGGTCCCCTGATTTAAATGCATGACAATACTTCTGCAATAGTTCTGATCAGAATGTCCTGTGTGTGTGTGTATGTGTGTGTAAATCCCCTCCAGCCCATTCTAGCCCATTTTTCAACCTGGCATTAAATCTCTGCTCTATGTCAGGATCATCCTGTATTTATTCTTCTATGACCCTCTGACAAAGCCTCACCTTGTCTCACCCAACTCTCCAGGACAGTGAGCAGAGTTTGGCCTCTGCTCTGTAATGAAGACTTTGTAACTGTTCTAGCCAGTCATGAGTATGACTGTTCTGACAGCCCTGCAGGGAACTCATAAGAATGGAGGGACCAGCCCTGCCTTGCAGCTGTGACATGAAGTGCCAAAATAGGCATTAACGTCGCGTGCAAGAGAAACAGGCTGAAGGGACAGAAAGGATTTGTCTCACATTAGAACTGAGCTGTGTTTTACAATCCAGATCAAATTACTTGGCCATTTTTATGGTGAAATTCTAATGGTTTCAGAATTTTGTGCTATTGTGTAGAAGGGGTTAAAAAAAAAAGTGGCATAGAAGAATAATTGAATTGAATAAATATTCAAGAGTGCTTTAGCCCAGACCCACTCAGTTTGACACTACAAGCAAAACCATCCAACCCTGCACGCAGCTGCTCATGGATAAATGAACAGCTAATTTCAACAGGGCTGCTGAATAATCATGGCTGAAAAGGAGAAGTCCTAATGGAATCTGATCTCTTGCCTACATCATTAGAAAACATACAGCTGTACATCAAAGTGAAGCACAGCCTCCTTCCTCATTAGGGCTGAGGGAAGGCTCAAGACCCTGGGTCCCCACAAGGTACACTTGGGATTCTTTTAAGACAGTAGTTGTTTTGAAGCTAGCAGAGCTGCTGAGAAGAGAAAAGCCATCTTCTGTTATGGTGATTACTTTATTTACTTTGCTGAGGGCTGGTCACTGCTGGTCACTGCTGGCCACTGACAGCCTCTGGTGGCCTCAGATTTACAGAAGACTCTTCATGTAGCATGAATTGACTGAGATCCCTCCCTCTCCTCTGTATTCAATATACAATTCATTAGAGAAACAATTGAAACAATGTTGTTTTATGTTTGTATGGCAATTTAGAGTTTTCAGTTGTACTATGCAATTGTCTAGAGCTAGAAATCTTGGCATTCAGGTGCAAGGGAGTGTATTTTCCCACAATGCTTTTGCTATTTGGTTTCTTATTTGAGGACTTAGTTATCACAGGCTCTGGCTTCCGTGGAACCAAATTGTAGCATCTGAAATGGATCATTTTATAGCTCTAGGTATCTTGTTCTGCTTGGTTCTTCTAAGAGTCTCCATGTATCTCAGCAAAGCTCTTTAAGTACCACATGGCCAACAGCTGCTGAATTAGTTTTCAGCCTGTGCCCACATGATCTGTTTGTAGCTCATTTCATCTCTTGGCCATCCAGTTTTAAATTCCCATTTATTATGTGGATTTTCTTTTGTATCAGTTAGCTGTGTTCCTTCTTCTCATCATCATCTCTCCTCACAGGACCCTCTTAATTAAATAAGACCATGGCTTGAAGGCGAGCCTCAGACAGGATATTTACAAGCAGACGCTAGTGAACTTAGTTCTTCCTAGGCACCAATTACACATGCACAATTTAGGTAAATTGCCATTGCTTAAATAGCAGAGTCTAAATTATGACTACATGATTAAAGGGGATTTTCTAAATGAATATTATTAATTCTTTTTGTGTGGTGTAGGTATGTGTGTTTCTTTTAGACAAGGTCTTACTGTCACTATCCTCCCACCTCAGCCTCCTGAGTACGTGGGACTATAGGTGCATACCACCACTCCTGGCTTTTTAGAATGGGCCAGGAATCAAACCTGGGCCTCCTCCTAGCTAGCAGCAGTGTCATCCAGTATGTACTGTCAGGGCTGGGCTTACTAATTCTAAAGTATTGTAACCAGAACATACTTTTATCACATTCCTAAGTTTCTATGTCCCAATATGTTTAATACAAGGGTACTTCAAAAAATTCATGTTAGAGCATAACTAAAGTACAGGTTTATGTTGGTGCAGAAAGTATGGAAATCCATGAAGTTTTTTCATAATACACATGTTCAGTGAACTTTTTACAGATCCCCTGTATATCTAGCATATTATAATGAGAATGACTTTATACAGGGGCTAGCAAGTGGTGTAGTGGTTAAGGCACTGGATTTCCACATGGTCAACTGCAGTTTGAGTCCCAGACCTGGAGGCTTGAAACTCATGCCAGTATGTGTGCGTGCATGCCAAAAATCCTGAGAAGGGAGAAAGGATTCCTGTGTGGCCATTCACCCCAAGGGTGTTTCTTACTTTCTCTTTCTCTGTCTCTCTCTCTCTCCAGAGAGTGCATGCACACTATAGCAAAAATATCTCTTAAAAAAAGGAAGAAAGAAAGGGAAAAGAAAGAAATTTCCCATACGGATAAACAGCCAGAAGGGCACACACAGACTCTGGAGGTCATATAAATCTGTCAAAATGTTTAGAGAAGGTCCAGTCCTGCTGCTCTGTCAGATAAGAAAATATTAGGTCATCGGAAAAGTCATGATATGTTTTTCTATGCCAAAATGCATCATGACTTTCCTGACAATCCAATAGAAAGAATGTAAATAACTCAGTGTTAAAAACAAGCGTAAAACAGATTTGTGGTGGCATGGTGGCATGGGTTAGGAGGGAGATTAGGATTGAGTTTTCACCACTACTTATTAAGACAAAATTTAAAAATCAGTATTATCTCTGTGGGTGGGTTGAGGAGTGGCAGGAATATTATTTCTTGCCATATAAGAAAAGCCCCACATAGCAAAGTCTTGTTCTATTTGAAATGTTGACTGTCCCCTCCTTCGTGTGGCTCAGAGGAGAGATTTAAAACCTCCCTAGTTAGAGCTTGGTATGTATCTTCCCACTGAAACATTATTTGGATGATACTTAACTTTGATCTAGGTATAAGAGGAGTTATGTAATCTAGAAATAATACCATCACTTGTAATATCTCTTCTATGAGAAAGTCTCAAATAACCTATGTTGAAATTCCTGGAGTAGAACTATTTATTAAATGCTGCGTTTGCCCACATCACCTGCCTTCACCAGTGAATTCCTCTGATCAACTCAACCTCACATGCCAGAGCAGCACTTTGTGCCCAGTCAGGATGGAGTAGGGATGCAGTTGGAGTTTTTCCATATCCTGCCTCTCTTTGAATAGGAAAGACAAAAATCAACAACAATCCCTGGAATAGAAGAGGGTCTAATTTTATGGGTCCACAGAACTAAATATCTACATTATATCTTTTCTCTACTTGTCTACAACAACTTTGGGGAACAAAGTATATGAGCTATTTAATAACTCAGTAATTATGTTACATTTTAAAGGATCATGGAATCAGATTTCAATGGAAAAGCAAAAGCATTGAGCACTGTATCTCTCTAAGGGCTGAAATATTATCTTCTTATAAGGGCACTGGTCATATTGAATCAGAACCTGCTTTAATAGCCTCATCTTAACTTCATCACCTATTTAAAGGTCCTGTCTCCAAATGTGGTCACATTCTGTGGTACTGGGGTTAAGGCTTCAACACATACACTCAGAGGTGGTAAATTTTAATATATTATGAATTAACTCCTTGTGGCATTTATAATTTCCAATCATGAGCTTTATCATAAATGGAGCTTTATCTGTGGATATACTTCCAGAGGACTGTGAGCATATCTTTCTGAAGAGTTTTTGTATTTGTTTTTGCCAGGTATTCTGGAAGATTTACTGATCCAGGATGTTTTGAATGTTCATCAGGGAGCCACGTGAATCTAAAAACCGACACATTCTCTGTAACTTGTGATCCTGAATTATCAAAAGAGATACACTTTTCCCCCAGCTCAGAGCCCTTGTTGATACATACAGACTTCACTGGGATCTCCCTTCTAAGAAGGGTGAGTTCCTCAAGATCTTGGCTTAATGAGGGGTCTGATTTTTGACACCATGCATATCATTGGTCCCAGGTTTTGCCTCACAGCAGATTCTTGTGGTAGTTCCCACAAACCCACCCTATTGGTATTCATGCCCTTATGTGATTTCCTCTTGAGTATTAGTATGAACTGCAATTTCCTTGTAACCAATAGGATACGGCAAAGGTGACAATATGAACAGAATATCATATTGCATTACATAAGTTTCTGGTACTCATCTTACTGAAGCTACTCACTCCTTGCTGGTTTTGAAGAAGCAAGCTGCCGTATTGGAGCTGACTGTATTGAGAGACCTACGTGGCACTAAGGGTTGCCTCCTGGCTCAAGACCACAAAGCACATAAGTGAAGAAACCTGGATTTCAACCCAGGGCATTTGACTCCAGAGCCTGAACCAGTAACCACATTCCATACTGTAAAATACATTCTTGTCCAGCCATGGTGACTCAGCTGTAGTGTGCTATTCCATAATACTGTAGCTACATGGAAGATTGGGATTCAGTTTCCAGGATGTCCTGTTCATACTGGGCACATATGCACACATGCCTGTGATCCCAGCTGGCTGAGAAAGCTGAGGGGAAGATAATATCATAAGACTCTGTTAAGGGTGCCCTCCTCTCTCTCAAATAAGTAAACAAAAAATACATGCATTCCGTTCCTGTAGCCCTAAGAGTTTTAATTCATTCCAGCATCAACAGTAAAGCCTTAAGCCCAAAGTCTCACTTAAATATTATCTATATCAGATATGTGAAATTTGAGGTACAATTCATCCTAAGGCAAAATTCTTCACCAGTTGTGTAAGTTATATACATCCAAAACACCATGGTAAACTGTGGATAAGATAGGAAGTACTACTCCAAAAGGGAGAGATCAGAAGAAGAAAAGGAGTGACAGATCCCAAGCAAGTCCGAAACCTAGAAAGGAAAATTCCATTAGACTTTAAGGCTCAAGAATAATTCCTAAATAATCCTCTTTGGCTCAATATCCCATGTTCCAGGACCTCTGGTGTAGCAGCATTACTCCCATGGCTCCAGGTAAGGACCCCTTCCCCTGTGGGCTCTTCCAGACCCCTGAGCCCTAACTGAAGGTTTGCCTCCAAGCCTCCAGGTAAAGGCTATATGGCACTTTGAAGCCAAGGGTTGTGGCTCTGATAATCTCTGAATCACTTTCGGCTTCATTCTTTCCTCTTTGGAGTAGTACACATTCACAGCCAAATAGCTTTATTGTCCCAGTCTGTCAAATTCAAGAATTCCACAGGGACCAGCAGTTAGCGTAATGGCTATGTCGCTGGACTCCCATGTAGTCGACCACAGTTCGCATTCTGGACCCGGTGGCTTAAAACTCACGCCAGGCGCATGTGTGTGTGCGTGCCCAAGATCCTGAGAGGAGAAAGGAGGAGAGGGGATTGCGGCGTGGCCATCCCCCCGGGGGGTGATTTCTCGCTTTCTGTCTCTCTGTATCTCTGTCTCTCTCTGTCTGTCTGGCGAGCGCACACGCCCTATAGCAAAAATCTCTCAAAAAAAAAAAAAGAAGTCCGAAAGCCTTCTTCATTTTGTCTGATGTTTCTGTTTGCATAATTCTATAAACTCATTATTGAATGACAGTTCAGCCATACCCTTCATGCTCTCCTCAGAACACACTTTCTAATATTTTGCTATTGACTAGATAGTCAATTCTGAGAATTCTTCAAACCTTCAAGTTCTGGTTCCTTTTGGCTGAACAATTCCTTTTTCAATTTACCTCTCTTATTTTACATTTTAAGATAAGTAGTCAAGAGGAAGCAAGTCACTCTTTCAATTCTCTGCTTAACAATTTCCTCAGTTAAATATCCAGTTTGATTACTCACAAGTTATTTCTTCCCCCAAAACCTAAAGACAGTTCATGCAAATTCTTTGTCACTTTATAGCAAGATTCATATTCCCTCCAATTTCCAATAACACAATCCTCATCTCTGCCTGAGACTTCATCAGAATCACCTTTAATGTTCATATTTCTAGAACATGCTTCACAATTCTGCCAGTGTCTACCCATTACCCAATTCCAAAGTCAATTCTACATTTTAAATATTTCTTACAGAAGCACCCCACTACTTGGTACCAACATTTATACTAGGTTCCTTAGAGAGGCAGAACCAATTGGAGACAGATATTCAATAGACAGACAGATAGATAGACAGACAGACAGGAATCAGCTCAATTCAGTGATTATGGAGGGTAATAACTATAAAATCTACAGTCTCCAAGCTGGAGTGTCAATGAGAGTTGATGATGTAGTTCCAGTATGAAAGCTGGCAGGCTCAAGGTAAAAGAGGAGCCAATGTTTCAGTTCACATCTAAACGTATGGAGAAGACCAAGGTCCACCTCAAGTAGCCAGATAGGAGGAGTTCCCTCAGCCTCTTTGCTCTATTCAGGTTTCTAATTGATTGGCTGAAACCTACCTACATTAGGAAGGTCGATCTCTTTTATTCAGCCCACTGACTTAAATATTAATGTCATCCAGAAACACTGTCATACACACACACACACACACACACAGAATTTTTTTTCTTTTTTTGGAGAGGTTTTTGCTATAGGGTACGTGCGCTTGCCAGACAGACAGACAGACAGAGAGACAGAAAGCGAGAAATCACCCCCCAGAGGGGATTGCCACGCCACAATCCCTTCTTCTCCATTCTCTTGGGATCTTGGGCACGCACGCACATGCGACCGGCGTGAGTTTAAGCCACGGGGTCTGGGACTTGAACTGCGGTCGACTACATGGAGTCCAGCGACATAGCCATTACGCTAACTGCTGGTCCCTACACAGAGAAATATTTTGACCAAATGTCTGGGCATGCCATGGTCCAGTCAAATTGAACATAAACTTAACCTGTACAGTGACCCTCAGGAATATAACCTCAGCACTCAGCAGGCACTGCATGCTTCCAAGAAGTAATTCCAGAGTATAGTTTAAACAACATTGCTTTAGACAAATACATAAGAAAACAGCTGCTCAATTTAAGACTTTTAAGGCTATTGTCATAATTTTTACTTGGAAATTGCCTGTTGGTACCAATAATAGGGAAGAGAGATTAAGTGTCAGAGGGAAAGACACTTCCTCTTTCTCTTTGTATTCTTCTTCTTTCTCCCTCTATATACTAAATTCTGATATAGCACTGAAGTAGTAGAGTTGTAGAGGGAAGAGGCCAACATATATTGAGAATCTACAATGATCCAACAATAATAATGATGATGACTAACATTTTTTGGATGTTTATTGTAGTCCAGGAATTCCTTAAACTATTTAATCTTCTAATATACCAGTCATTGTACATTCCACATATTATGGCATCTAATACAAACACCTAGCTGATGAAGTTCTGTGAGGTCCTGTGGTCCTATTTTAGAAATAAGGAAATTCTCCAAAGTGAAACAACAAACAGGTTGAGCTGGAATTTGCCTTTGGCAAGTCTGACTTGGAAGCCTATGGTTTTCTCCACTTACACAGCCTGCTACTGCAAAAGCCCATTAGAACCATGTACATTAGCAGAAATAAATAATACTAATATTTGGCTTGTTTGCCTAGAAGATGTTTTTTTTTTTTTTTTTTTTTTTTTTTAAAAAAACCCTTCTTCAAAATCCCTTTTTTTTTTTTTTTTTTTTTTTTTTTTTGGAGAGATTTTCACTGTAGGGCGCGTGCGCTTGCCAGACAGACAGAGAGAGACATAGAGACAGAAAGCGAGAAATCACCCCCCAGGGAGGATGGTCATGCCGCAATCCCTTCTCCTCCATTCTCCTCTCGGGATCTTGGGCACGCACGCACACGCGCCCGGCATGAGTTTTAAGCCACCGGGTCCAGGACACGAACCGCGGTTGACTACGTGGGAGTCCAGCGACATAGCCATTACGCTAACTGCTGGTTCCCAAGATGTTTAAAGTCAGAAAATATGAGACTCTTTTCTTGGTTTTGTTTCTACTTTGCCATGTGACAATTAAGCATAATACTTAATTTCTCTGTGACTCAGTTTCTTTCTTATTTAAAAAAAAATTATTTAACTTTATTTATTTATTTATTTATTTACTTACTTACTTACTTATTTTAATTTGACCAGAGATGGACAGAGAGCGAGAGAGAGAGAGAGGGAAATGAGAAAGCAAGCCATCAGGTCTAGGACTTAAACCACAGTGGGAGTCCAGCACCCTCAACTACTATACCAACTGCTGGCATGACTCAGTTTCTTCAGCTCTAAAGTGAACATTTTATTTATTTCACCATTTGTCAGGGTATTTTAGTGACATATTAAAATACAATGATTATGAATATATTATGAAGAATGTTACAAAAATGTAACAAAAATGTCACACAGAAAAGATCTTTCTTACATGCTTTTCTATCCCATCATCTTTATGCCTAGCTGTGCAAAGCAGGAATAAATTACCTCCCAAGTATAGGAAGGGATAAATGTAGAATATCTGTCTAATAGATGCTTAATAAAGATTAATTTTCTTACCTTGTGTAAATGGGCCTAGGAAGCAAAGCCTGGTACCTGCTCATCAGTGTCATGGGAAACCCCTTTGTAATATCTTTTTTTTTAAGCAATATCAAATGTCTATTAAAAAACACTCTTTTGACACAAAGTTAAGGTAACCCAAAGTGACACTGCAAGCTTATATTTATACACACGTGAAAAGATAAGAAATGTAGTATTTTCCAGAGCAAGAGTACTCTGGAAAAATGAAGAAATACTTCTGATACAGTTTTATTTTTGAATATATTTGTACAACACTGAAAATACCACCTCAGGTGTTTAAGGTACAAAGTTTCCTCTAGATTATGTGCATTGATAATAAGCTCTCTAGCTTAGTGTACCACTACACAAATATTGCATCATACTAGATAACTCTGCATCAGACATAAGCAGACCAATCAAAATTCCACTTAGAGGAGATGAAGAGGCTACCAGGTATAAATAAACAAAAGTAGAACTTAAACAGGCCAAGGAGTGTTGGATATTTAATGAATGCATGAAGAATACAACTGATGCAAATGTATCTATTATTTTAAAACATCGTTGTGAAGAATCAAGATTTTGCATTATCCAGGCTGAGTATCCCTAATCCAAAATACTTAGGATCTGAAACAATAGATTTTAGAGTATATGCATATACACAAGGAGGTTATCTTGGAGATAGGACCCAAATCTAAACACAAAATTCACTTGTGTTTCGTGAACACTCTGTACCTTGATCGCAATTTTATACAATATTTTTGTAGGGCAGTGTTTTGACTGATGGGTCACATAGGGCAGCCCTCAAAAAATTTTGAATTTTGGAGCCTTTGGGATTTTGAATTTCTGGATTAGGGCCCTTGTAATATCTTAAAAATTATAATCAGTCATGATCTTTCTTCTAAGTGGTTATATTCAAAATTGAAGGTCCTAAGCATAAAGGAGAGAGTGAAGGAATTACTTAGTGATATCTAAGCCTCAGCCTCATGATTCAAGAATGTCCTTGGTGAAATTTGGTTCTTTCATGGGTGGGATCTGAATGTTCTTTCTGCTCTAAGGTGCAGATCACTTACTTGTTTACAAAAACTCCTTTATTGCCTATCTCACATTCTCCACTTCATAAATCTTCAAGAAGTGTCAACACCACAGAAGTTGG